ACCATAGCAATGCTTGCTTGTGACTGGTATTGACTAGGGGTCACTGCCGAACGGATGCGACCGGGGGACACCATAGTGACTGGTATTGACTGGGGGTCACTACCGAACAGATGTGACCGGAGGATACTGTAGAGACTGGTATTGACTGAGGGTCACTACCGAACATATGCAACCAGGGAACACTGTAGTGACTGGTACTGACTGGGGATCACTACCAAACGGATGCGACCGGGGGACACTGTAATGACTGGTATTGACTGGGGGGCTCTACTGAACGGATGCAGCTGGGGGACAGTGTGAAGGAAATGGTCGAGGAAATCTCTCCCCAAGAGTGTGCTATCAAACCCAGCATTGGCCCTACAATGCCAGACCACGTTTTCCAGTTGATCGCTCTACCCTTTAACATCCAGACTTTATAATCATAGTTATCATCAACCACAGACAACCCTTAATTGCAGAAAAGAGAATGCTTTTTATTAATAAATCTAGAAACATCTTTCTTACATCACCCTTTTAATAGAATACTGTTCCCAGTATGATAGGAAATGTTACATTTATGAATTGATAATAATAGCTTTCATCATCATTCATAAGAGCCTAAAAATGATTCAAATGAAGCTTTTGAATACCAGTACATGATGTTGGAGAAATGGTAATACATTTATCCAGGATGAAAGTAAATACTCAAGACTGAATATTGAATACAGCACAACTGTATGGTCCTTACCATATTACTTTTAATGAACAATTCATTTATTATTTAGAGACTTCTGTTATAGTGACCCTGACATTTAAAGCAAGTCTACAATGTCATAGTGAGTTAGAGGAAGCCGTTTGTGATGGAGACAAATTGTTGAGATGGCAGGAAGCCAATAGAAATTGAGATAGTGAGCAGTTGAGCAGCTGGAGTGCACTTGTCAGCACAACAGTGTGATAGCAACTGTGTAAGCAAATTTGTGACTTTGCTCTATTTTATTTATGGGGAATCTGAAATTGATCTTTTTATTTAACATGTTTAAAAGCTGTTTAGTATGATTTCATTTATGTGTTGCTTATAACAGAACAATCAAAAAATTACACAAGTCAGCCAGCAGTTTCTGGCCATGCTACCCTAGACACGCTGAATAAATTAGCCCTAGGCTGCCTTTCATGGGCAGCTTGTCAGATGAGGCAGATTACAGACTGATAGCACAGATCATGGCAAGGACACATGAGAGACTGACCATATATCTGTCTTGTACTTTGCACTGAGCATTAAAGTGGGGTGATGCTGTAAGCAGGGAGAAATTTTACATCCAAAAAATGTATCCATGTATCCATGCATACATTATATAGCGCAGAATACATGCTGCTTTTTCTGTTTGTTTGGGGGTACTTAAGAGCAGAGCCCTCCCCCACAAGGATGTGTGGTCTTTTCCTTTGCATCCCAATGAGAAGTTATTTTGGTTGGCCCTTGGTTGATTAGAGGCCTAATGGTAACCAAAGAAGCATGAAATTACTTTTTTTTCAGTGCAGGCATACACACAAGCACACTCACATGCTCATACACATGCAGACCAACTGAAGTGGAACGCTACCACAGAATACTGATGCTCACCTTTCCCACTTTAACCTAATATTACCCAAATACTTTATTCCATTTCCAAGGAAATGGAGAAAGACAGTAGATGGGCAAACATTCCAAAATTCAATCAGAAATAAAGAAAAAGTTGAAAAATATTATGAATAATTGTAAAATTATTGTATAATTTATCAAATTGACTACAGCTCTGATTGACGTTTAACTGTTCATGGCAACTGATTTCTTAGTCACCAAAAAAAAACAACAAAAAAAAAAACAAAACTAGACTAACTAGCTAATATAGGAGATTACGAGACACTCAGATATCAAGTTAATCTTACATTTTATACTACAAGCAGACAATGAAGAAAAAAACTAAACTGTGGTTAAATAGGACACATTAACATCCAAAAAGTGTGATGCAGTGTATGAGTGATGCACGTTGTGCATAACGGATTTGTAGTGTTTCTGAACATGGCTGAATAACATATCAACAGTTTACCATCATTTACCATGAGTGGGCATCAATTAAAATGATAGCAATTAGATAAAAAGAGCCCCAATATGTGTAGTGTTTTATGTCCACTTTAAAGTAGTAATGCAATCGCAACACAAATCCTGGTTATCTATTTCTATAAGGGGATTCCAATTAATATTTGCATGTTGTGTTTACATTACAGTTAATAGATGATGTGTTTGTCATTTGACCCATTTTATTGGTAAGACATCAATTAGGGTTCTACTGTTTTAGTGACTCTTTTAAGTCCTTTGATTATTTGTTTGAAATAAAATTTTGACATTGCCATTTTCAATTTTTGTCAAACAGTTCATATTATAGTCATCAGTTGTTGATCATAAAATAATATGTGTGTGATGGCGAATTGTACAAGACAACAATATTAAAACTCTGATGGGAAAAATTCACATGTAAAGCTAAATCTCTTATGACAGTGTTTGGGAAGTTACGAACTTTCATTTTTGCCCTTCCTCATAGCAAAGATGGATTATAACGTCAAATATAATTGTTCAAATAAACAGGATTTTCTTTGATTGACATTTGGGGTTATGACCATTTGAAAGTTGAAAGTATAGCTTTGCCATCTGTTGGTTTTAACCAGGGTCTAATAGGAAGTAATAGTAGCAGGCAACAAAGTGACAGTGTGCAATCTTTCTGTTGAAGAAGCAGCTTCTCACACATAGGTTTTCTTTGCTCTAAGTCATCCTGGGAAGTGTAAAAACTTGTTGCAATGTGTAGATAGTGTCCATATGCAGTAATTCAAAAACAAATGACATGAATCCATTCCATAGAGGATCTTCTGGATCAACAAGTCAGTGGTTTATTTGACCGATGAATCTTTCTATGTCACATTTATGATTGTCTGGTTTTTGCTTTGAAAAGAAGGAAATGTACCTGTCTATACTGCTTAGTTTTTGTGAATAAGAACAAATTTACTTTCCTTTTACAAAGCACTAACCTTATCACCCTTTTTGTACACTCAGAAAATAAGTGTCAATATGCTATTGGATTTTAGGCTGCATAAATAACTGTGCAAAATAAAACTTGACACTGGCTCTGCATTTGTCACATTTATCATTATCAGATCATGAGATCCCTAACCCTAACCCTGAGAAAAATGTGTTCTCACATCCTATGCCCACACATCCTTAAGTGTTATAAATATGTCTGGTTTTTTTTTTAGTTCAGTTTTATCTAGTGTGTGATAGATGTGATATGTTGTGTGACATAGGCAAGGCAAGGCAAGGCAAGTTTATTTGTATAGCACAATTCAACAACAAGGTGATTCAAAGTGCTTTACAGAGACATTAGAAACAAGGACAAATAAAAAGCATGATTTAAAATTGATTAAAACAAGCAAATAAACTAACTAACTAATTAACAAACAAACAAACAAACAAAACAGTATATAAAATCAAAACAGAAAATCAGTAGTTAAATGTAAGTTTTGAAATTTAAGCTATATATATAGCACAGAGATCCTTCTGTAGTCGTTATTTAAGCCAGTTTGTTTTCTAATGTGCTCATGTAGTTCATATTATAGTTAACATTTTTAAAGGAAATCCAACATTAAATTATCTATAAACTGTGTTCTAGCATATGTTGGTCTAAGAGAGTGTTCGAAATTTCTGATTTGAGCAGCTATTACCAACAAATCAGAAGTCAGGAACATGTACAGTATATTTGTACAGGTCAAATAGTTTCCATGTGGTGTCTGTCAAACATGTGAGGCTATAATTTTACATTAACTATTTCCTGTTTTCTGGCCTCTGCAGGAGGAACCTGACCAAGCTGTCTCTGATCTTCAGTCATATGCTGGCAGAAATCAAGGCAATCTTCCCTGGAGGACAATTCCAAGGAGACACGTTCAGGATTACCAAAGCTGATGCTGCTGACTTCTGGAGGAGATTTTTTGGTGAAAAGTAAGTGTCACCTCAGTATTATTTTTGTTGTTGTTTGTTTGTTTTTTGATAGATGTGTATGTTATTCACTTGTCCAAATTGGACATGCACACAAATAGTTGGGAATGACATATTCCATTAAATAATCAACACCATCACTTTTAACGTGTAATGGTAAATAGTAGTAAAACACCACTACAAATGTACCAAGCCTATTCTAGAGCTGGCTAGCTAAAAGTTTGTCAAATTCCACACTGGTGCTAAATTTCAAGTTCAAGTTCAAGTTCAAATTTTATTTGCCACATGCAGTGGCATGTTGCCCTGCAGTGAAATGAACCCTCCCCCCGACCTTACACACACAACACAGACATCACATGGGGATACAAGTCAGAGAACGGTTGCATTACAGAAAAAAAACACTGAAATGTACACTACAATGGGAAAGTACAAGAGGAAAAAAGAGACCTCTACTCATGCTGGGCTATAGGAGGACAGCATGAGAACAGGAAACAAAAAAACTCCTCTGCACAGAAAGCACATAAATGTCCACAGTACAACATTATAGAGCACGTGACCAGCAACAGGGTTGGGTAGGGGATGAGGAGTAATCCCAGGCAACACAGCAGCCATCCTGCCACTGCACCGTCTCTCCAGTGCGGGCCCAGACCCGCCTCGTGTTCCCAGGAGGCAACAAGCATCGAAGGCATTGGAAGGGGGATGAGTGAGTGCTCATCAGTGTAAGTGTATGTGTGTGCGTGTCCATAGTTCAGCTGAGACAGTGTCCTTCGCCCTACCAGGCTAAGTAAACAGTCTACCAGCCAACCCAGGTGGCCTTATAATGGGAAGGAACAGTCAAAACACAGTCGTTATCAGGGAGTTTTTGTTCGGCTCCAGCCTTAAGCCCACAGCTAGCGCCGAGGGGATATCCGCATTATCATGTTGATGTTGTTGATTTTTCTTTTATGCGAACAACTCATGAGAATTTTAAAGCTGTTCTTTAACACTCCAACACTGGTCTCTCACTCTCCCGTTGGAGAGCCGCGAGCTTCTTCATGATGTTGTCAAACTTGCTCTCCGTGGTCTTGTCATTCTTGTGCTCAGAGAGCCGATTCTGAGAACTCACGACTTCAGTGAGCTGCTCCACGATGTAATCCAACTTTCGCTCAGAGGTGTTATTCTGAGGGAACTTCTCCTTGATGTAATCCAATATACGCTCAGAGGTGTTATTCTGAGTATTCACGGCAGCCGTAAGCTTCTCCAAGGTCTTAACCATGCTGCACTCAGTGAGCCCATTCTGAGAAGTCGCGCCTCGTCCCATCGTTTCAATCCCAGCGGGCAGCCTTGGGGGGGTTTGAACAGCCGGTTCCTTCTTAATTCTCCGATAAGCCAGGGCCAAGCCAGCTCCGATCAGCAAGAACCCTGTTATCATGGTTCCGAATAGGTAGATATCTTCAGCGTCCTCGATCGACAGTCCCGCAGGCACACTATCCTCCACCTTTCTGCCACCCGTCCATCGTGTATCCGGCAGGGAAAGTCCCTCCAGGGCACTCGGGCTCTCCCGAGCCCAGACTTCTCGTTGAGAAAAGGGTGTCAATAGCATTCAGAGACCAGTTGATCAAATCCATAATTCTCTTTTAGGTTTTAGAGAACGACATGTGAGAGACTGTTCCAGGGAAAGTAATACACACGAGACAAGACAAGGACACAAGAGGCTAAGCAGGGAAGATAAGGGGAAGGAGGAGAGGAGAAAAGTGCAACTGCCTTCACCGAGAGCCAAATGAGAAAGAGTAATTTAGCAGTATTTTTCATTAAGCATATAATTTCAGATCATAACCATTTTCCATTCATACTGACAAAAGTCTGCAGTAGGGTAATGGTTACTTCCTTGTGAAGCAGTTTCTAATTCTTTTCAGTTTTATCAGGAGGACATTTTTGGCTAGTATTTTCCATGATTTTACAAATGTCTTAAAAGAATATGTTTTGCTCATATACCTTCCTCATAAAAAAGAGCTAAATCTCTTGGATGTTTTTTTTATTTGCATAAAAAATGCAAAATTTATTTTGTGATATTCTTGGAATTTTGAGAATATTAGAAGATCCTGTTCCTATCATTTCAATACATTACACAATATATGTAATTCAGTATAATAGTGAATTAAAGTGTTTGTTATGAAAAATGTCATGTTAAAAAAAATCCACTTGTGTAGAGAGATATAAATTGCTACTGGATGCACTATCACTGCTTTATTTTGATTCTGTAAAACCTCATAATTATCTCTAAGACAATGTGTTTTTTTCAATGTAGTTGAATTATCTCTGCTCATCCTACACTGTGTTCAGAGCCACCTTAGAAACTAAGTATAGTATAATCTGTTAGATTATTAGATTGTTGCAAACCGAAGCTGAGGTATAGCCCTTTAATCAGTCAAAGGGTCACACTTGTTACCCATCCTGAGAGAAGATTGAGATGTCAGGACTTGGCTTGAGGCTAACTGCACATAATGTCTTTCAGATGAATTTACTGTTTATATTGTAAGGAAGCTGATGCTGATGCTCACTATAAATAAACATTCATAAATTTAAGCAGAAAACATCACTATGGCCGCTATTAGCCAAATTAGCCAACTGTGTCAGATAGGAAGCTGTTGGAGGTATATGAAATGGTGGTGGTCAGAGGGCCCGGTGGCGCCAGTGTCCGGCAGCTGTGTGCTTAGGGTTATTATTCTGTTGAAGATAAACCTTTGCCACATTTCAAAAGCCAGAGCACTTTGAAGGAGGCCGTCATCAAGGATGTCTCTGTAGATTGCTGCTGTCATTTTTTCCTCAACCCTGACTAATCTCCCAGTTCTGCTGCTGATGCTGGCACCACGATGCTTCACTGTAGGGATGGTAAATCTTTGTTTAAGAGAGACCTGTCATGAGGAATGATTTCCGTCTGGCTGCAGGCTTGATCGGTGAAGTGCTGCAGAAATGATACTCCTTCTATCCCAACTTGCTCAGACTGGCCAAGTAGCTAACAGTCCCGGTGTTTCAAAATCTTCCTATTATGGATGATGGCGGTCACTGTGCTGATTGGGATCTTCAGTGCTGCAGACATTTTTCTATACCCCCACCCCAAGTTCTGTGACTTGATACAATCCTGTCTTGAAAATCTACAGACAATTCCTCTGACCTTTCGTGCACTGTCATCAAAGGGACCTTATATAGACAGGTGTGTGTCAGGGTGCAACTGAGCTCAGTTTTCGGTGTCATGCAAGAATTACACTTCTGAATTTTAAGCAAACTTTTTCCACTTTGTTGTTATTGGATATTGTATGTAGAATTTTGAGTTGAAAAATTAATTTACATTTACATTTTACAATAAGGCTGTAACATAACACATTATGGAGGAAGCAAAGCACTGTGAATACTTTTCTCTTCCTCTGGGATTAATGGTACAGTCCAAATTACGGTTACAGTTGTGTCATTTTAAAAATGCGATGTAAAAAGGATGACTTAAAAAAGAAAAAAAACAAATACATTAAACATTGGGCACCAAATTCTGTAAATTTTCAAAATGCCCGAAATGCCAGTTTTGTGTGGATTTTTTTTATCCACAGTTTTGTTTTTTTTTTTACCCTAATAGAAGATAGTGTTTAAGGCAATAGCTTCACATTTTCACAGATACACTGTTGGATATTTTTCAGAAAATGAAATTTAAACTGTGAATCATATATTTTGTTTTAATATGTTAAAATGATATGTTATGAATTAATTAAATTCACATATATGGTAAAGGGACTGATTCTTATATAGCGCTTTTCTACTCTCCCGGAGTACTCAAAGCACTGTATATAACATGCCATATTCACCAATCTCACAAGCACTTTCTTTATACATAGTGCTTTCTAACTACAGTCATACATTCATACGCTGACAGATGCATCAGAAAGTAACTTGGGGTTAGTATCTTGCCCAAGGATACTTTACATGCAGCCTGGAGGAGCCAGGGATCGAACCACCAACCTTCCGATCAGTAGGGTACCTGCTCTACCTCCTGAGCTACAGCCACCCCCTTGTGATTTGGTGTATATTGTATTATGTATACAATATACAATAGCAATTATGTATGTATTAACACTAAATCACAAGAGTTCTGTTACAGGGCTTTATAATCTAAGGTAGAGACCCTGAAGTAATAGAGAGAGAAAGCCCCCCACAATTAAACGTCCCTCTATGAGCAAGCACTTGACGACAGTGGGGAGGAAATACTGCCTTTTATCAGAAAGAAATCTCTGGCAGTACTATAAGGTCTTGAAGATAAAATCAGTCCTGGTTATTCAATGCATTGTATGTGAGGAGAAGGATTTTAAATTAAATTCTGAATCTAACAGGGAGCCAATGAAGGGAATGCTCTCTCTTTTGCTGCAGCATGTTGGATCAATGGACAGCTTTTCAGGGAGTTTTTAGGACAAGCCTAGTCCAGCTGAGAAGTAATAAATGCAAAAACTAGTTTTTCAGCTCTATGACAGGATGTTTCTAATTTTAGAGATACTTTACAAATACATGAGCAGTCCTGAACTGGACATGTGTGTGCTCAATAAACTGGCAAATTACAGCAGGATTTTCCTATCCTCGGTCAGAAGGCACAGGTGACTTATATGATGAAAGAGAGGGTCCACAGCAATGATAATTAGGGTTCCTTTAATCCAAAACATCTCCAGAAGTGAATTCGTGTGAGTATATGTATGTGTGTGTGGTTCTGTAAAATAACAGAAATTACAATTAGCAAACAATTAAAGTCAACCAAACTGGTCTAAATAATACAGAAAGGGTTGAACAGAAAGTCTAATTCGAAAATGACTAAACCCCACCCCCTGGTGGACACAAATGGGCTGCTGCACAGGGATAGACTCCATCTTTACTTTGGGCAGCTCAGTTCACAAGGGTAGCGCCATTTTGGTCAAATCAGCGTGAATATACAGTGTCTCGTGGCTACACAAACCGCTGGAAAACTCTATAAAAGCATCACACAATGTACATAGGCAAGTATGATAAGTTACAACCATAGAACAAACAAATACAAGGCACTTACTTATCATTCACGCACACGCACGACACATGTTCAGTACAACAGCCCAGCTCCACCAGCGCTATCACGGTGAACCAGCGCAAACACAAACAAAGGATGGGAGGAATGTACCATCTTAGCAGTGGTTAGAGGGGGTCCGTGGAACAGTCTATATACACAAATCACAGGGGTTTTATACAGCCGCACCCTAATGTGTATAGCACATTAGTAAACATTAAAAAACCCATGTGAATATAACTAAGGACGTTCAGCTGACAGTTCAGGTAACGTGATAAGTTTTGACACAGGCCGTTGGTATTTATGTTCCCCAATGGCGACTTCAGCTACTCGCACCTGTCCATCCGGGCTGGGAAATACCTGTGTTACCTGTCCTACGGGCCAGGAAGCCCGTGGGAGCTGATAGTCCACCACCATGACAGTCTGTCCCACTTTCAAAGGTGGAGTAGTCTGGTTCCACTTCTGGCGAGGCTGCAGTCCAGGCAGGTAGCGCTGAATGAACTGAGTCCAGAACTGGTCCGCTATGACTTGGCTGTGACGCCATTTTCGCCTTCCAAGTTCTTCTCTGGTGCCATAAACTGCCTGAGGAAGGGAAGCATCGCGCCGCCCCATGAGCAACATATTTGGCGTGATCGGGTCAACATCTGCAATATCCGAGGAAACGTATCCCAGTGGCTTGGAATTAAGTATGCCCTCTACTTCAATAAGAACAGTAAGCAACAAATCCTCTGGCACCGCTTGACCTTTGAGAGCAACTTGAAGTGCAGATTTGACTGAACGGATCTCCCGTTCCCAGGCTCCCCCAAAATGTGGAGCATGCGGAGGGTTGAAGTGGAAAGTGATGCTCTGTTCACTGAGCTTCTCCTGCAGTCGTGGCTCCATCACTTTGAATGCCTCCTGCAGCTCTCTGTCTCCTCCTCTGAAATTGGTGCCCTGATCACTCAGTATTTCAAAAGGTTTTCCTCTTCAAGCAATAAATCTGCGCAGAGCCATGAGAAAGGAGTCAGTGTCCATACCAGTGAGAAGGTCGAGGTGAATGCAGCGGGTCGTAAGGCATTTAAATATAATTCCCCACCGTTTCTCTTGTCTCCTACCTATCTTTATAGTGAAAGGGCCAAAACAGTCAATTCCTGTGGACTAGAATGGCGTCTGATTTAATCGCAAGCGGGTAGCAGGGAGATAAGACATCTTCGGTGAAACAGGCTTGGCTCTCCACTTCTTACACTCAAAACAGCGATACTGATGCTTCCTTATGGCCTGTCCGCCTCTTAAAATCCAATACCTGCGTCTCAATTCGGCAGAGACACGTTCTGGGCCAGGATGCAGGAGACGTGTATCATAGTCTTTGATGATGAGCTGAGTAGTAGGATGGTCTGGTGACAACACGATAGGATGCAGAGTGTCAACATCCATCTGCTCTGCTCGCCGGAGACGTCCACCTACTCGTATGAGGCCAAGCTGACTGTCATATTCGGGAGAAAGGTTGCTCAGTCTGCTGTCTTTGTACACCTCTTTCCCAGATTTAAGTGTGTGTACTTCAACAGGGAAGCTATCTTGTTGTGCCTGTTTGAGAATTTGAACTTCTGTCTCTAGTCGTTGTGCCGCTGACATAGTCGTTGTGCCGCTGATAGCCGCCCCGTGAGAAGACAGGTAGGTGGCCTGCACCAAATCAGCCCAGGTGTTGTATGCAGGATCAGACTGTGCCAAATCTGTAGTGACATAGGCACAGAAAGCTGATTTCTTTAACTCAGTATTATCTTCAGTGTCTGTACTCACAGTAGGTCGTGCTGGCCACTGCTCAGATGCTTGTTTCAGGAAGGGGGGCCCATCCATCCACTGGCTAGGTTTTGACAGCTCACGTAATGGTTTTCCCCGGGTGATGTCATCTGCTGGGTTCAAAGCTGAGGGGACATACCTCCAGCTGGCGGCCTCAGTCAGCTCCTGTATTTTGGCAATACGAGTACCTACAAACACTTTATAGTGGCAGGACTCGGACTGGATCCAGTTCAACACAGTGGTAGAATCGGTCCATAAAGTAGTCTCACTAATGGGCA